GAGAGAGAGAGAGAGAAAGAACTCCGTTGAGCTGCCGACGGAACGAAACCCTGACAGATTTCATCGTGGGCTGACGTAAACAATTTGCGAATGTAAATACCTGTTGAATATTGAGCGCGCTGGCAGGGCCCACGGGGCCCCACGCCGGAGCCCCAACACCTTGCGATCGTTTACCCTTTAAACTCGTGATTACCATCCGGCGCGGTCTCCCACCTACCGCGGCGAGGCGTGTAAGTCATCGGCATAAATTATACGCGAACATCGCGCGCGGCGATGCCGGAGATCCCGTCGACGGGGTATCCTCTCGGCTCTATCCGCCGTCTGACCCGCGAAGAGTCGCGAAATGGAAAACGATCGAGACATACTTAACACGCGCGCGGAACCGCATGCTCGAAAAAGAACGAGCGCGGGCTCGCACGCATTCCGAACGCGCTCGCTTCGACGTTGAACAAAGCGAGCTGTTCTCACCGGTCCGCGCGATCGCGATCTCAGCTGACAGCTGAGTGAATTAAAATCTAATGCAGATCTAATTCAGTAATAAAGGAGGCTAGGCGCGCGATGTATCATCGTAAATTGCAGAGTCGCGATCTCTTACGGTTCTTAATCGCGCGGCCAATTAAACATTTGTAACACTGATAACGAAGGCGTGCGCGCTAGATCGTTTATCGCTTTTATGGATTTCGGGTAATAAAGCTCGTTGGCGCGTGCAGTTCGGATTATTAATAAGTGCGGAGGGTAACCGGCGTTTATCGATCGCCGATCGGATCATTACGGATGATTCCGTGTCGCGGCTCGAGAGGTGGCGGCGAGTAAGGACGCGTATCGGGATAATTGGTGATTTCGCGCGATCGATCGCGATAAGCGACAGCCGACAGTTCCGATAACTTTCTCACTCCGTATTTAATTATCCACGTCGATTGTAACGGGAACGCGATGCGTATCGATAACGGAACGCGGTAAACACTTGTCCACGCAGCGCATTTTCTTGGCGCAACTTTTTCGCGCGATCGCCCATCCGTCAACCTAATCTCAAGCACTATGCCAAGGGAATATCTCAGCGCGCTGCTGAGAACTGGATTGCCCGTCTCGCGGGACTATAATTATGTAAAAATCAAAATCTCACTCACCGTCCTGGTTCATCCCGTGGCCGCCGTCATCTGTTTAAAACAGAAAAAGGAGAATTAAGACTTGAAATTGAAATCTGGCGGGATACGTGATCGAGATATCAAGGAATCGTGTGTGTACATTGAAACGAATCATGCAAAAACGCCGCTCGCGTTCATTTTCTCTTCGTTCAACTCGCGACGGAGCCTGGTCGCGTGTTAATTAAAATATATTACATCTTGTAATCGTACGTCATGTCGTTCTTTGAATTATAATCAACACGCTCGATGGCAGTTTGACAGCAGGAGCAATAAATGAAATATTCTGATACAAAGTACGGAGGCGCTGACGACGCTTCCGGAGAATCTGCTGCAATACGTGTTGCGCGTGAATATATTTAAATTCCTCTTCTCGGCGCGATATAATATTACGGGAATTTTACATTTCTAAACATCGCGTATCAGGGAGTATAAATCTATCGAGAACGGAAGCCTCATCGTGTAAGATCTGCGACTCTCCGATAGGCTATCGCGGGCACCGGATGGTTGCACCTCGCGAAGGGAGATTCAGGCGTGTTTACCGCGGATCATGACGACTCGCAACGCGCGCCAGCGATAGCAACCTGCACGGCAACCTATTTGTACGCCGGACTCTGGTATCGCGGCGATCGCGCAGCGTTCCTTTATTTAACCCCATAAATAACCGCCGCTATCTCACCGCCGAATGCTCTCCTATGGGCAACAGGCAGCGCACACGTACTGCATACACGCGCACGTGTGGTGAAACGCGTTTTCGTGTATGGCGCGCGATGCGAAATATATTAGATGCTGCCAGTCATTCTGCCGCGCAGAGGGGTTGGCGCGCTGGGAATCCCCATAAGCGATCCGCGCGTCCATCCAGCGGAAAGAATAACTTTCGTGAGGAGATTAAAGCGTGGTATGTGTTATTCGTTCGATAATAACGCGCATTTAAACCAACATCGAATCGTGCGACGATTCGAAACAACGGTAAGATCTGTCCCTTTTCTTTTATAACATCAAAAAGAAAAAATGTACTATTATGAATTTATTAGAGCGGTGACACGAGTAATCGATACCACTTGCAGTCCCATATGTAAATAGTTATAAATACGCGTTGCACAGGAGGCAGATAGTAATTAAAAGTTAAAGTCGTTTCATGTAACACTGCATTCTTGAATATTAAAATTATTGAATATTAATACGAATTGCTAAATAGATCGTCTAGAACGTCGAGCGGTCAAACGTACCAGCGTACAACTTGCGTAATAAGTCGCACCAGATTGGCGTATAATCTGTCGGAGAAAGGTGTGGGTTTAGACAGATGTTTTTTTTTGCATGTTCGTTAAATTTAGGCGTTCGAAACTTTTCACGCTCTCCGTGCTGCTTCTAGAAGATCACTTTCTTTTCGACAGTTTCGAAAAAAAAACTGCTTTATTTACGCTTTCTGCAGTATCGCTGTACAGCCGATTAAATAGCGCGGACTTTTCGATTGTCGAACAACGGAGAGTCCGGATCTGAATGGAGTGGCGATTAGTCACGACTGGGGGAAATCGAAACAAAGCGGGCCGGACGACGGTCCGATCTCTCTCGCGACGAGAGCTGAAATGACTATTTACGTCGCGGGGTCAATAAACCATATAATTCATTACGTTTCATGTTGCGTGATCTACGGACGGCGCGCACGCAGGTACGCATTAATTGCAAATTAATGCCGCGGCGTGGTTACGCACCATTAAAGATAATCAGAATCCGCTGTCTGCGCGCTCGGCGGGTAAAGCGACGCGACTGTGGTGGTTTCAGAGATGCAATTAAAAACGTATTTGTCGTCCGGTCGAACTAGGAAAAGGTCGCCGCGAGTACGAAATTACGCAGAAACTCGACAAGTCGGTCGTTAATACGAAATAACGATGCGCGTGTGGCCCCGAAAATTGATCCGCGGTTCTCCTTCTGTCAAATACGTTGATATCATTAGATTTAACGATCCCCGATTGACTCTCTCTCGTTCTGCCCGTCCCTCTTCCTCCCCCGACCTCGTGGTCGCTCATGCCGTGTCACTGGCTGCTGCCATGGCGGCGGCCTTTCATCTTCCTTAACCAGCACCACTCTCTTCGCATCATGTGTGCGCACACACTCATACACATTCACGTGAACGAGAAGGACGAAGGAAGACAACGAGCTGCTACATCGACGCGACCAGTCGGTTGGAAGAAACTACCGCTTACGAAGATGATCCTGGCGTGTCCATGTTTCGTGCGTGTGTTAGAAAATATATCTGTGCGCGCGACGATCGCCCACCAAGGAAGAAACTACCGCTTCTAAAACGATGATTCTGGCGCCTGTGTGTCGCGCGTATGTATATAAGCGTGCGTCTGTGCGAATGCGAGTTCGAAAAGATTCCCGTATGTGACGAGCGCCGAGCAAGTTCAGCTAACTCGATTGTTCCGTACGGAACAAGGAGCTCTTTCACGCGAGAGTCTCGTTGCGGCGGTCTCTGATGAAGGAATCATTGCGCGGTGTCCGCCCGGCACGCAGCGTCGCCGACGGATGCGCGCTGTCGATACGGGATTTAATAAGCTTGCGGTTTGCAGCGAGGTAATGATGATAAACGGCAGGAGGTAATGCCGGGTGCGGGAATGTGGATTTTTGCATTTTGAGTGTTTAACGCGCCTCCGTGCGCAATTCGCGGCTTCGAGAATATTGATGATCGCGCGTAGAAGCGTGGTAATTTGCGGCGAGTAATGCGTTTACCAAGTTGTCTTGTACAAGATATCGGGACTGAGAAGATGCGTCGTATATCATGAATATAATTAATTAATATGAGATAATTAATACGATTTACACACAACCAATCGTTTCCGCAATTTGAAACGGCACTGTCGTCTGAATTTCGCATTTTAGAAATCCGTCCAATCGATCATCGCGAGATCAAGAAACGCGCGAACACCGAGGGGATCGCGAAAAAGCACGCGTTCGACGGATTCCTGAATTCCAACTTGACTCAGCAAACGTGATGCATCGTCATCGTTGCACGCGCGCACGGATTCTCCGGTAATAGAAGCGTCGCCGTGCGCAGACGAAGATTTATCACCAGTACTTCGTGAGGCACGTGCCTGCACTTTTTTGCGACCGCTACATTCCTATCGGCTGCGCACCGTGCTCGCGTTTAGTCCTTGTCGCGCCGTGCGTCGATCGGTGCGTACGTTGTCTTGTTCCCGATATCGGAACAATGTCGGTGAGCGATATCGAAAGGTGAGGTAATTATCGATTGCGGCGGGTCAAGAATTACTGCAATACTGATCAATGATACGAAAAAGGCAGCAATTGCAGCATATCATATTCAGTTAAAGAATTATAATGTAAATATTAATAAATAAATTGATTATCACAGGAACTGTTTCTATTTATTTTGTTTATAGCGATTTTTAGGATTGAGAATAATTTTATACTTGAGCCGATTTCCTTCCTGCGACAATCGCCTTAATATTCTACGTAATAAAGGAAAATGGATTCGTAAGAAGAAACATACGTTTTTTCTTGGACTCCTCATGCATACCTCCGGGTGTCGCAGCGCCGTGATTGTGATGATGAAGAGCCAGAGGGTCCTGGGGATGCGGGTGAATGGCGGCTAAGGCACTTCCGGCTGGGTCACCCGGATTGACCCCGACTCCGACCCCCAGATGTAGGGCACCATGCTGCGTCGCGTGTGCCGGAAGCTCCATGCTGATCATAGCACGCCACTCTCCTTCCAACCCTCTCCTCTCGTAACCCCTCTCTACCTCGAACAGCACCTCGCCGAGTCGGACGAGGCGTCCGTTCAACCCCACGTCGCCTTCTGAAAAAGAAGAACAAATAATTCGATTAGTATAATCCGAAAAAGATATCAAAATTTCACGTATTCGCGTGATTCGTCGTGGTCGACATTTCTTGCGAAGACGCAGGCGGAGACGACGGCGCGGCTGGTGGATTCCCGCGTCGAGCGGCGGGCACGGATTTTCGGTCAGTGACTCGTCAGTCGAATCAATGGTGCAAGAATACTGTAGACAAAGTCCCGAGCTGATCTAGGCATAGCGATCGACGAAAGAGAGAAAGAGAAAGAAAGAGAGAAAGAGAGAGAAAGAAAGAGAAAGAGAGAGAAAGGGACGGAGAAAATCCCGCGCACGGCAGGCCGGACCACAAAAATAAGTCTCGGTGGTCCAACCGCCGATGGAATTGCCTTTGCCACGCTTTTTACGCGCGGAGTAGATAATTTCTTCGTTCCTCTCTCTACGTAATGGTCTGGCCGGGTGATCTTTTTTGCTTATTACATCGAGAGGAGGAGGCCGCCACCGGAGAGCGACACACTGACGACGGATGAGCGCTAGACTGGCGGAGCAGGCTAGAAGGACGTACGCAAGGTAAGATACCTACGAATGAATGAAAGGATGAATGGAGCGTAATTTCGTCCACGCTGTCGGGGCCGTTTTTCCATCGTTTCGATGGGGCCGGCGCATTGTCTAGGTTTCGGACGATTACGATTCCCCGCGATGCGCGCCGCAGCTGCCGCGACGGAAAAAAAAAAGAGCGCGTCGTCGGCCAACTGCGCGGGAAACGCAAGCCTCTGTCTTGGATTACAGCGATCTATTTATCAAGCTCTTCTATCGGACGGCTCGGCAATATTTCCGCTGTCGTAAGGCGCGCGACCACCTGCTCTAGTTAATTTCTAGCGCCCGTTATTAATCATGGTTGCATTTCTCCATGAAAATGTTTCGGCTCGCTTGCAATCGCGATAGTCTCCCGCTCGATCGCATATACTTGTGCATTTTCCGCTGATATTCTGTTGCGTTTCGCGAATGTATAATATCAAGCGTTTCGGAGCGGATGAAAATATTGTATATAACTTCTTCCTGTTCCCGCAGACATTTATTACGTTACCGCGTGTATGGGAAGAGACGAGGTTTTAGTCGACAGGCAACAGTCTCGGGCGCACCAATCGTCATCGGGCGGCCATCCGTGAAATTCGAAGCTGCTCCCGCGTTCCGCCGTTTTACATCGCGAAACATCGCGGATCTCATAACGCGTGGGAGTGAGAACCCGAGAACGGTCATCGTCTGCGGTCAACGACTGTCCACCAGCAACGGGAGAGTCTTTGTGCTCCCGTCGGCGATTAAAACCGCGACAGGCTCTAATTTGCGTGAGGAAGTCGACCGTCTTCAAACGCGAGTCACTACCGGTAAAGTCGCTGTATTATATTCAAAATAATAATTTCGCAGTTTTCGAAAATCAAGATAATTAACAGAGCATATTTACAATAATGCAAATTCATCAAAACGTGTGAAAATGGGTATTTTCGTTTATTTGATTTATATTAAATTCCACAAAGATGCTTCACTAGTTTCAAATAATTCCTTCTTAACACTTCGAAGCAATCTTCGTGGATTCTCAATCAAATCAAATCGCTCGACACGCTAATTTCAACGGTGCAAGTCGGGAATGTCAGCTTCAACCTGGCGAAGAAGCAAAAGCGGAGGAAGAAATCACGCTCTCAATTTCCCAGGCATTTTCTCGCGGCAAGAAAAGATGAGGAGTTGATTCTTTACAATGTAGAAGCTCTGACGTTCAGCTTATTGGCAATGAGAGGGATGATTGTTTAGCATCGCGTTTTCCTGGCGGGACCCCGTTCCTCTCGGGCTCGTGCTACTAGCGCGCGGGGCCCTCCTAATGGAGGATGGAATGCAGCGAGAGCACGCCGTGGCGAGTAAACGTCAGGTAAGAGGCAAACGATGATCGTTCGGCGGGAGCGGGCGGCGGTGGAGCGACTCAGAGGCCGCGAACGGGCCTTAAGTAAAGCAAAGTGGGTGAGTCGTAGACGGCCAAAGTACGCGTAAAGACCGGCCTTAGAAAGAGAGAGAAAGAGAAGGAGACTCGTCCCGGTAAACCGTGGGAGTCGGCCACCAGCGCTCCACGGCATATACGCACTCGCTAAAACCATTGTTTACGGCCGCCCTGAACGTCCGCGTACTTCACTAACTGAGCCCTCTCACGGGGCCCCCGCCCGCGGGACCCGCAGCCACGTACGATGCATGTTTTAAGGACGGCCGGTAACTGTCGGAGAAAACGGACGCAGAAAACGCTCCGTACCGCGGCGTTCGCGTACGCGATCGACGCGCATCTCGCGTGTGGTCGAGGATGACCCCGCGGAGATCCCCGCGAAGATAAATAACCGGCCATCGATCTGTTCGAGGCAATTTTCTTTCAACTGGAGCGTTCGCGTTTGTCGGAGAAATCAGCTTAATCAACCTAATAAAATAACTTCCCTTATCGCAGTCGCCGTTTACATTAGTCATCGTATTATTCCCGATGCATCTCCCGCGCGTGCATGAAAAGATTTATGATCGATGCAGCCGCGTCGAATTATTAATCGACGACGATACCGAAATCGAGATATTCACGACTCGCCGAACGTGTCGTCTCGAGTTATTCCGAAGAGAAGGAGCGAAGGGGCGATATTCACGGCGCACTCCCAAGTCTCTCTTACATAAACAGTAATGGTCCGAGGCGATGCTCGGCGGTCTAGCTTAGTCGGGGCTGCAGCCCGGCGCTGCGGCGACTTGCAGTAGCCGGTGGAACGTGTAGCTACCTTCCGCAGCACCTCCTGCCTTCGCTCTTCTGCCTTCGCTTCAGCGTCGATTCCCCAACTGGCCGGTAATGGCGGTGCTCTCGGGGCTTAACAACGCGTGACAATATGCATCAAGAAATTGCTCGAGCGCGGAACAACTCTAGCCGCGCTTCTTTCTCTCTCTCTCTTTCTCTTTCTTAGTGGCGTGAATATCTACAAAGAAGAAGAAGCGTAGGTGCGTACACTTTCTGCTGTGTGCACGTTGGTCTTCGTGACGGGACAGCGTGTCCGCTGAGAGAATCGGCGAAACGGCTTCGGACTCTCACGCGAAAACGTCGATACATTATGTAACTTCTCGGTTCATAAACGAACACTCCCGTCAGGAATCCGCGGTGGAATCCTGGGAAGCTCTTCTCAACCGTGTATATCGACTATCACTCGATGGGGCAAGTCCAGTTTTCGCGGGAAGACTGGCGCCTCGATCGCTCGTCATGTTTATTAATCTGATTTGGAGTCGCTGATGCGGAATGCCGACCGATCTTCGCGATTTTCGCAGATTTGCGAGAGCAATTCGTACGCAATTTTTGCACTTCCGCGTTTCTCACGCTGAATGAGACGAAAACTTAAAATAGATCGCTGATGATAGAGAAAAATTGGCACGATTTATTTTTTCTTCGTCTTTTTTTTATAATAAAAATGCCGATAAAAATTCCAAAGGACAAATATTTTTGTTGGAAACAAAAGACGAAGAGGCCAATGATTGTTGTAAACATAAAAGCTGTCTTTTGTGCCACTTCGCATCCATTAATGCATTCGAATAGATTAACGCCAAGGCACCTATGGTGGACGCAGTTTACCACAAGGGCTATCCATGCTTAATCGAACTTTCAAGCGACAAGAAGGTATATCTTTCTTTCTTCTTACTCATTAACCCCATTACCCGTACTTGGCCACTGCGTACGAGCGCTCGCGTTCTATCAGCACACCAGCAAATCACAAACGCATATATCTACATTAATGCCGGTGTGCAGCGCGCCTCGTAAACATTAGTCAACCGCCTGTTACGCCTACATGATCATTATTGCCACGGCACGGTCGTCATAAAACGCGAAATTTCATCGCTAATTGGTTATTTCCTACTGAAATGTGAAATCGCACTGACGTCTTTAAATCTGAAAAAATTTTTTATTATACCACAATTCACTATTTCTATCTAAGAAATTTTTCCACTACACATGTCCCCCTCATGCTGTTTATCTCCTTCTCCAAGCGCGATATCAAAAGTCAATCGTAAAAGCCGAGCATCGTTATCGACTGTGGTACACCAATGCTGATACGGAGCAGCAGGCCACGACGTTCGACAATCCCGTGGCGCGGTGTTTTGTTAATGAAGAAAAATTCGCGAACCTACTGGAGCATGGCGAGAGAGCAGCCCACATGGGAACGCAAGTGCGTTTACACTCGGCCGTCGTGTCTGACAGCGCGTTGCGTTACCCGCCAACCGACAGCGGCGGTTTGTCTGCCGCACACGCAGCCCGGGTCAAGTAATACCAGTTCTCCGGAGTTGTTGGCGGAGGTCCGGGAGAGACACCGTCGTAGAGAGAAACGTATGTAGGTAAATATAAGTTGCGGCGAGAGCGGCGGCCAGCCGGCCGAGTAAAAGGGAAAGAGACGTGCGGCTTTCGTGGATAAGTGACTTTCGAAGAACCACCTGTGGCACGTGCCATTAACGTGCTCCCTTGCGTGTCCGTACGTGCGCGAATGTCTCGATATCCCGCCGCCGCCGCCGCCGCCGCCGCAACGACGACGGCGGTGGCGTGGGTGTAACAGGTGAGCGCGGATACTGTTTTCTTTGCGGACAGGCCTCCTCTTGCAATGCACTGCAATTTCAAGGGTTGTAATTGCACGAGCCGCGGGAGGGGAGAACCGGAGGAGGAAACGTATAAAGAAAAGCGTTCGATTAACATTCAATACGTTGCGTTACGGGCGTGCATACATTTTTTCCGCAGTGAAATTTGCGTTTGCAATTAAATGTTTTTTTTATTTTTTAGGAAGTGTACGAAAAATGCGATTGCAAAGTGTAACAGGATATCGTTGCGTATCGATATCTGGAGGCAACGAGAGATAATTAGGATAAATTGAGGTAATAAAGAAACGCGATTTCGCGTTAAAGTCACGGACACGTTTATTGCCGCAACCGCGAAATCGTTCTGAAGCACGCTGCAGCGCGGTTGTTC